TTTCAAAAGCTCAGAAACAAAGGGAAATGTTCTCTAAGAGCCCATCACTATATATAACTTTACCTGATTTAACCTTGAATATACATTTATCTAAAGTTACTGCTTTTACATATTTAACCAGCAACCACTCCCTTTTGGAATGGACACATTTGTATATTTTTTTCTACTCACAAAGGTTGGCAAGAAAAGGATTTCAAAAGCTGACTTGCTGAATGATAAACTAAAGGGAAATATTCACTCCTTTGCACTTAAAGTTGTAGAAGTCCCCTCCCAAAGGTTGTGGCCCAAGTTATGGCATTTATTTCTTTGTGATTATTCTGTTTTTCAATTTTCTTATTTGAATATCAGGGAAAAAATTCCCAAATTCAATGGTTACTGCCTTGAAAATGCCAAAAGGTTGAAGAGAAGCTAAATCCATAGTTTATTATCCCCAAATTATTCTCTTGAAATAGATTGCTGGTTCCATTGTATTTCCCATTTGTGTTGACTGCTGACTTTTTACTTATTTTGCAATCCTGAGACTATCACACCCTACTTTACAAGGATCCTACTAAAAAATACAGAACATTTCCTATTTATTTATTTGAGACAGGGTGTTGCTCTGTCGCCCAGGATGGAGTACAGTGGCTCACTGTAGCTTCAACCTCCCAGACTCAAGAGATCCTGCCACCTCAGCCTCCTGAGTAGCTGGGACTATCTGCATATGCCACCACGCTGGGCTAATTTTTGTATTTTTTTGTAGAGATGGATAGGGTTTTGCCATGTTGCCCAGGCTGGTCTTGAACTCCTGGGCTCAACTGATCCTCCCACCTTGGCCTCCCAAAGTGTTGGGATTATAGGTGTGAGCCACGGTGCCCAGTCATAACTTCCAGTTTTAAGTAGTGTAATAGTGATTACTATCCTCAAGAATTCCTAACATTTTCTCCAAACTATACAGAGTGTGAAAAAGAGTTACATTTAAAAAGATACAAAGGGATTTCCCACTTCATTGTAACAAATTACTTCACTGTTAAGGAAAGTATATATAATTTTTGATAGGCTAAATTAAACTCACTAGGCCAGGCATAGTGGCTCACACCTGTAATCCCAGCACCTTGGGAGACCAAGGCAGGTGAATTACTTGAGCCCACATATTTGAAACCAGCCTGGGCAACATGGCGTAACCCTGTCTACAAAAAGTACAAAAACTAGCCAGGTGTGGTGGCTCACACCTGTAGTCCCAGCTACTTGGGAGGCTGAGGTGGGAGGATCACCTGAGCCTGTGACGTAGAGGCTGCTATGAGCCATGATTGTGCCACTGCACTCCAGCCTGAGAGACAACGTGAGACCCTGTCAAAAAAAAAAAAAAAAAAAAAGAACAATCATTTGTTAAACTCTTGCCAAAACCTAGCTCTTTTTTTTTAGGCTCCAGGCCCCATAGTGCTACATAACTTAGATTTGTTTTTTCCCCCCCAATTCAGTACAGACTAACACACTATTACACAAAATGCCAAGTTTTTATTTCCCTTTGATATTTGCTAAATGAAAAGTTATTTTGCTGACGAAAGCAGAAGTCCACATACAGTGTGCTAGGATACCACCTATAATCAATAACTTAAAAATAATCATTGAGGGAGGGACACGGTGGCTCATGCCTGTAATCACAGCACTTTGGGAGGCCGAGGTGGGCAGATCACTTTGAGCTCAGGAGTTCAAGACCAGCCTAATCAACATGGTGAAAATTTGTCTCCACTAAAAATACAAAAAATGAGCCAGGTGTGGTGGTGTATGCCTGTAATCCCAGTTACTTGGGAGGCTGAGGCAGGAGAATCACTTGAACTGGGAGGCTGAGGTTATAGTGAGGGGGCAATAACAGAGAAACTCGTCTCAAAAAAAATCACTGAGCTCAGAAAAATGCCTAACACAGAAAGATATTAAGTAATAGGTTAGGGCAACATGCATCCTGGGAGGTCAAAGAATTCACAACAATCACTAGTTACACTTTTTAAAAAGACCCACAGATCGACAGAGCACGGTGGCTCACACCTGTAATCCCAGTGCTTTGGGAGGCCAAGGCGGGCGGATCACGAGGTCAGGAGACCGAGACCATCCTGGCTAATATGGTGAAACCCCGATAAACACAAAAAAATTATCAGGGCGGGGTGGCACATGCCTGTAGCCCTAGGGCTGAGGCAGGAGAATCACTTGAACCCGGGAAGCCGAGGTTGCAGTGAGCCAAGATTGCACCACTGCACTCCAGCCTGGGCGACAGAGGGAAACTCCGTCTCAAAAACAAACAAAAAAAGACCCACAGATCACAAAAACAGAAAATTAAGAGCAGCACAAAATTGACTTTGAAAGGCCAGGTGTGATGGCTCTTGCCTGTAATCCCAGCACTTTGGGAGGCTGAGGCGGGCAGATCACCTGAGGTCAGGAGTTCGGGACCAGCCTGATCAACATGGAGAAACCCCGTCTCTACTAAAAATACAAAATTGGCCAGGTGTGGTGGTGCATGCCTTTAATCCCAGCTACTTGGTAGGCTGAGGCAGGAGAACTCCTTGAACCTGGGAGGTGGAGGTTGCAGTGAGCCAAGATCACGCCATTGCACTTCAGCCTGGGCAACAAGAGAGAAACTCCGTCTCAAAAAAAAAAAAAAAAAAAAAAATTACTTAAAAAAAATCCCATATATATTGCCCAATATTTGGAAAACCTTCTCTAACAAGTACTATGAACCAAACACTAGTAAGATATCACACAGGGACACAAGTCTCTTATCATCTCATAGAGGGATCTACAAAGCAAGATACCATTCCAGGAAATGCAAACTCTACATAAGGGGAAAAATAAAGAGAACCACTGTGCAAGAGAAATTTAAAAGTAACTTCCTAAAGCAAGCTTATAATTATGTAACCAGAAAAAAAAAAAGTAACTTCCAACTTGCCTCACAATCTATAGGCTGGGGCTACAAGGTGTGGAGGAAAAAAGGCAGTCTTTACAAATCACAACTGAGGGAAGAAGCAAGATATTCACTACCTGTAGACATCTAAAAGCATCTATATGTGCAAAAGGGGGAGGAGGTTTACAATGTTGAGATCAAATTACTTAGAGAAAAATTTCAGCTGTCAGGGGAAAAAATTCCTGAAGGAAAAGATATTACAGTGCTAACTTCTGCCAGCACCATAAGAAGTTCAAAGTAAATGAAAACTGAGAGCAAAAGCTGGAAATCCCACCCCCCGGCCCATCTAAGCAGGGTTTGAAACCATGGGTTTAGATCATAATGTGACCTAAGAAGCTGTGAACCTTGAAGCTTTCAGTACAATATGGCTCCCAGCACTCCGCAGGTGACAGACAACAACTGTATTAATCTCACCCCTTACCTCTATATACTGCTTTACAGTTTAGAAAGTGCCTTCACTTTTATTCCTCAACAGCAACCCATTTAGTGGTAGAATCAACAGTAACTGACGTTTACGCGGATTGTAGTTTGCACTTTCACACACTGCGCTGGCTATTTCACAGAAGAGACTTAAGGAGGTTAAGTCACTCCACTAAGCACAAACAGATGGTAGGTGAGGAGCCTAGAAAACTGCGGGATTCCACTCAGTCAATAATAGACACTTCCAACCCTTAAAAGTTCAAAGTACAACTCTCCAGGGGGAGCAAACTCACTCAAAGAACTATACAAGACAGGACCTCAGAGTCTCAGCCAACCGTCTCTGTCTTGGTCGGTTTCCCTTCCCAAAGACGGGGAAAGTGAGGCAGCAGGCAGAGACAAATGCCTAATTTGGAGTCACGCAGGGGGTGTTGGTGGGATGGACTCCCCCCACCCCACTCGGGCTCTAAGCCCGGAAGCAGCTGGATCCTGTGTCTGAGACACCTGGTCGATCTCCAGAGAAAGGGAAAAATTCCCGTTTCCCTCTCACTATTCCCCACTCGGGCTTTCTTATGGATGGAGGTGTCTTCTTCCCATCACCGCCCAGAAACCCCCTCTCCCCAGGGTCCTTACCAAATTTTCACCTCCGGCCTCTGTAGTAGGAGAATTCTGCTAGTTCTGGCTCCTACCTCCTAGCCCCATTCTCTGTCTCTCGACCCCAAGGCGTTTCTAAATCTCCCCCGGGAGGTCTGCCTCCCACCCGTGCCACCTAGACCGCAAACTCCACAAAAGGAACCCACCCCAAAGCGTCCCCTCGTCTACCCTTTCTGTCCCGGGCACCCCTGGGTAGGTCAGGACCCCCTCAACACCAGGAGCCACCGCAGGAGCTAGATACCTGCTTCTCACCTGGGCCCCGTCAGCTGCAGCCTCCTGAGAAGGGCGACCCCCAAGAACCTCTTCTGGTGAGGACCCCCGAAAGAGGGAACACCCTCTTGGAGGAACCTCTTCAGATCCCTCAAGCGCGGGCCTCTGTAGAAAGCCTCTCGGCTGTTTCTCGGGTTCTGACCAACGCCACCCCTCTCCCGGGCCCTTTCCCAGAGCCTGCCCCGGCCCCAGTCCTGTCCGCCCGCCCCAGGCTCGAGCGACGGTTCCCCTCCCTCACAGATATCCCCAACCCTTAGACTCCCTCCCGCTCCGCGTGCCCAGGGGGCTTTTCAGAGAGGCGCGGTCGGGCTGCGGCACTGACTTTCTCTAGCTCCTGGGTCCACCGGAGGGAGGGGGCGGCGGCGGCGGCGGCGCGACTCCTTTGTGACAGGTCCGAGAGAACGGTAAAGATGGACGCGAGGCCACGGCGCTGCCATTACGCGCAGGGCCCACCCCCGCTTCGTACCGCCCTGGCCCTCCCTCAGTCCCCTAGGAAACGCCCCTTCCTCGGTGGCAATCCCTCTCCTTGACAGCCAGTCACCTTTCAAAATTCGTGTCACGTGATCAGGTGGACCGGCCCGCCCCCCAGGCGTAAACTGGCCAATCCTCATCCTGAGGCGTGAATGGCCCAGTCAAGTCTCTCCGACTTGCTTTCGGGGTACCGGATTTCCATCGGACTCCAGGGGAGGAAGGGCTCCTTGGATTGGGTTACGTCACCGGAAGTGGGGCGGGGCTTTATTGTGGCGGTGAGGAACAGGAAGCCCTGAAGGGTCAAAAGGAATACAAAAGCAAAGGCTATTTTCTTTTTTTTTTTCCTTCTTTCATTTCTGCCTTCCTCTGTTTCTTTCTTTCTTCCTTTCATTTTTTTTTTCTTTTTTAAGAGCGAGCAGCTCTGCGGTGGCGGTTTGGGGTGGGCGCCGCCGAGGTGAGGGCGTCTCGCCTCCCGCGCGCTGGTAGGTGAGTGCGGCCTCGGTCCTGGCCTGGCGGCGACACCTGGGTTCCAGCTTCTTCGCTGAAGAGATGGGGAGCTGCGGCTGTTGTTAGGGTTAGGGCCAGGCCTGCTTTCAGTCCGCACACCCGCCCAGTGTCCGGAGTCGCCGGAACCAGGGGCTTGCGGGCCCAACCTAAGGGGAGACGAGGGTGACGGCGGGAAGGCCCCTGGGTCGCGGGAGGACCCTTTCAGGCGGGCCCAGCACTGCCTGGCATTTTGTGGGTTTTCTCCACTTTCCTGCCAGGTAGGGCCACCCAGGCTTCGAGTGAGTAGCAGGCTCTGTTCCAGAGGTCTTGGAACAGGTCCAGGTTACTCCGATGTGCGGCGCCTGGTTGGAAATGGTTGAATCCCAGAATGGAAGTGCAGGATGGGAAGCTCATTTACTGTGTGCCATGTACCAGTTGCTGTGCCAAACGCATTTTCTTCTGCGGAAAACAAGCCAGCTGGCCCGTTTTGCAGAAAACTTAAGGAACAAAGACGGAGAGTTGAAGCATCATGCTTGAGAGTTGGTAGTTCTTGTGACTGTCAGTCCACACAGAGAAAAGGGGAGACCTGTTTGTTCGAAGTAGTGGCTCTTAAACGTTAGTGGAAAACAAGATCTCCTGAGGCCCTTTTTAAAATGCAGATTCTCGGACCCCCGCTCCCCAGGTAGTGCGACTGGGTAGTTCGGGAGTGGGACCCAAGAAGCCAAATGCGAGCCTGGTGGTCAGAATTCCCGATGACCTCTTGGGTACCACCTGTGAGATAAGATTTGTCGATTCTTCAGTTCTTTGGTTTATTCATGTGTCCACAGGGACATCATAAAATGGAAGGCACTCTTCTGAAATCTTTCAAGGGAATCAGTGTATAGACTCTTTTTTGATACAAAGTATTGAGCCGACAGCAGGTTTTACAGTCTTTTAGTTAGATGAGTTGCGAACAATTTCTAAGAGTCTGAAAGTAGAGGCTGCCCAATTATCTTTCTCAACTGAAGTCTTCATGCTCTTACCCTGTGGGGAGGTGCTTCATGGTATAAGAAAGGAATAACTGTGTCAAAACCATTTAGTTGATTCTCAGTCTTCACTTTCATTTTCCAAGAATCGTGATGCTTGGTTAAAGCTGCTTTAGATTGAAAACCACGTATGTGGTAAATCAAGTAACTTAAGTGCAATATAACTACAGAGTCATAGTGTAATTATACCTTTATGGCAGCTTAATTAAACATTTTCAACATGTTCACTATTAATCACCTTTTGAACATACTTTGTCTTCCTTCTTAAATATTGTTTCCCTCCACTATAGAATGTATTAAGATTGTTTTGTCTAAAATCAAGTGTAGACAAGTTTTTAAAAAGATTGTCTTTAGTTTTCTGCGTTTCTACTATTCTGTATGGAACGATGGGTTTGTTTTTATTCGATTTGTTTGGTATTAGACTTCTTGAATCTGTGCATTAGTGTCTTTCATTCTGTAAAATTCTCAGCCATTTTATATGCATATATTGCTTCCTCCCGTTGTCTCTCTTTATTCTTTGTTGATTTAACTAAACCTTTTCACTCTTTTCTCTATATCTCTTACTGTGTTCTTCCGTACTACATTCTGGATAATTTCCTTATTCTCAAGTTATTTCCATTGTTATTAAACTTGGCCACTGAAGTCTTAAATTCATATATTGCATTTTTTAGTTTCTAAAGTTCTGTTTGGTTTGTGACACTGTTTTATAGTTTCCTATTTTTTGCTATTAATTTTGAGGCTTAATTTTATTTATTTAAACGTGGAAAGCATAGTTGTTTTTATAATCTCTGTGTTTAATTCCACTGTCTGAATTGCCTTTGGGGGTCTGTTTCTGTTACCCATTATTCCTGCTGTTTTACTTCCTACTTCACTTTTACCTTGAAGCTGTAGTTTTTTCGGGTACCAAATTAAGATGGAAAGAGAGGTCGTTGTCAGACTCCACTCCCTGGCTTGAACTTGTTTTTATTATCTCATAAAGGCACTACAACTTTAGCTTTTAGGTCAGAGAAATCTTTAGGATGAAATTCATTTTGAATATAGAAGTTAATTTCAGGTTTTCACTTTCTAGATTATGTCCAAGTTCTTTACCATCTTACTAACTTTTTAAAGAATTATTGTTTTTGGCCAGGTGTGGTGGCTCACTGGCTCATGCCTGTAATCCCAGCATGTTGGGAGGCTAGGGTGGGCAGATCACTTGAGGTCAGGAGTTTGAGACCAGCCTGGCCAATATGGTGGAACCCTATCTCTACTAAAAATACAAAAATCAGCCAGGCATGGTGGCAGGTGCCTGTAATACCAGCTACTTAAGAGACTGATGCAGGAAAATCACTTGAACTTAGGATGTAAAGGTTGCAGTGAGCCAAGATCATGCCACTGCACTCCAGCCTGTGTGACAAAGCGAGACCCTGTCTCAAATAAAAAAAGGGGGTTATTATTTTTGACAAATTTCCAGAATATTTAGTGTATTTAGTACAGAGGTGGTTAATTGGTCTCAATTACCTAGCCCACTGTTTCAGGAAATGAAAATCTCCCGGTATTCTGATTTTTAGAATTTGAAATTTGTGTGATTTCCAGCACCCTTAAGTTAAAGACGGTTATTCTTCATATACCTAAAATTTCCACCACTTTTCACTGTGCGTCGTCACAGCCACTATGAAAGTTAAGCTTCCCAATGCTTATTCTAGTCTTCCTTTCCCAACTCCTTAGTGCTTAGCATCTACTCCTCTTATGGCCTGTAACCTAGTTCTACTTTTCCTTAAATTGCTGTGTGCCGACCTTACTTCTTTTACTGAATGAGTGTAAGTTCCTCACTTGCCTGTTTAGTACATAGCATTGTGTCTTGCATGTAATAGGTTCTCTGTAAATATTTGCTTAAATAAACTTTTTTTTGTTTTTTTTGAGATGGAGTCTCACTCCCATTGCGCAGGCTGGAGTGCAGTGGTACGATCTGGGCCCATTGCAACCTCCACCTACTGGGTTCAAGCGATTCTCCCTCTCCCTCCCAAGTATCTGGGATTACAGTCATGCACCACCATGCCTAGCTAATTTTTGTATTTTGAGTAGAAATGGGGTTTTGCCATGTTGGCCAGGCTGGTCTCGAACTCCTGATCTCAGGTGATCCACCCACTTTGGCCTCCCAAAGTGCTAGGATGACAGGGTGAGCCACCTTGCCTGGCCAAAAAAAAAAAAATTAGTTGGCCTTGTCTGGTTTTTGTAATGCAAAGCCTTTTTTTTTTTTTTTTTAAAGGAAACAGGTGTCTCGTTATGTTGCCCAGGCTGGCCTTGAATTCCTAGGCTCCAGCAATTCTCTAGTCTCAGCCTCCTGAGTAGCTGGGACTGCGTTTTTTGTTGTTGTTGGCGTTTTATTTTGTTTTTAATTTGGTCTTGGAGTGGTGTTACATAGGGTGGGGGGAGGGAGGACGGAGTATGACTTGAGATGTGGGTTAGGTTCTGAAGTCAGCCTAGATGACAAAATAGCGTACAAGCAAAGCTACCCTTGAAATCTCAGGGAGGCAGCATGTTGATTGTAGGAATACCAGTGTTGCAGAATTCTGACACGGCCAGTGTGATACTGTAAAATACGTATTTGGTCTTGGTCTCCGTCTCCTGTGGCATACAACTCCTATAATTCTTGGAATCTCCAAAATGATTGGTGTCATTTTATATGCTAATTAGCTGACTGGTGGCTGGCCGCCCTGGGTAGCTTTAGGATGGGGGCTGGTCACTTGAAAGACCCAGGCAGGATTAGAGGGTTGGGATTTTCAGCCCCTCCCTGACGTCCAGCCTCTGGGGAAAGGAGAGGGCAGAGGAGCTTATGATTATGTTGACCACTAGTGGTCACTGGTTTAATTTATCATGTCTAAGTAATGAAGTTTCCATAAAAACCCATAAGACTGGGTTTGGGGAGCTTTAGGATAGGTGGACATGGGAGGTTCCTGGATGATGGTGCACCAGAGAGTGCATGGAAGCTCTGCCCTTCCCACATGCCTCACCCTATGCATCCCTTCATTTGTATCCTTTGTAATATCCTTTGATAATAAACCAGTATGTGTAAGTAAAGTATTCCTCTAAGTTTTGTGAACTGGTCTAGCAAATTAATAAAACCTAAGAAGGGGGTCATGGAAACCCCGATTAATAGCCAGTTGGTCAGAACCACAGGTAAAACAACCTGAGTCTTGTGATTGGCATCTAAAATGGAGGCCAGTCTTGTGGGGCTCAGCCCTCAACTCGTGGGATCTGACGCAGTCTCCATCCAGGTAGGTAGTGTCAGTTGAAGTGAATTAGGACACCCAGCTGGTTGGTGTCCACTGCAGAATTGGTTGATTGCTTGGTATGTGGGGACATATCCTTCACAGAATTATACTGCATTGATTGTTCAGTGAGTGAATAGGAAAAATACTTTGGTTTGGGGTTTTTTTCTCTGTCCTCAGGCAGGTTTTCTTTCAGCTTTGGAAAAAATGGCTGTTTTTCTCCCTGTGAGCCCCAGATGAAGTTGTCAGTTTATATTTGGGAGTCACAATATGTAAAAAATACAGTGAATACAGTCATGCGTAGTAAGGGATATTTATATTTGGAGAGGTGCATGTGAACGAGGATCAGCTAAGGGAACCAATATTTAAATTAGTTATCTTTCTTCTAGTGAGTGTAGATGAATTCAAGATCAACGCACATATGAGACTCTGCTCTTGTGCTGTGGAAAGATAAATAAATCAATATATTTTTTTAAACTTCTTTTTTTTTTCCCCTCCAAGACAGGGTCTTGTGCTGTCACCCAGGCTGGAGTCCAGTGGCCCTCATAGCCTGGAACTCCTCAGCTCAAGCCATCCTCCCACTTCAGCCTCCTGAGTAGTGCACCATCACACCTGGCTAATTTTTAAATTTTTTTGTAGATACAGAGTCTCATTGTGTTGTCTGGGCTGATCTTAAACTCTTGGCTTCAAGTGATGCTCCCACCTTGGCCTCCTACAGCTTTGGGACTGCAGGCATGAGCCACTGTGCCCAGCCTGTTTGTCTGTTTTTAATAGAGATGAGGTCTCGCCATGTTGCCCAGGCAGATCTTGAACTCCTAGGCTTAAGCAGTTCTGCCTCAGCAGCCCAAAATGCTCAGATTGCAGGTGTGAGCTGCCGCACTAGACCTTAATTTCTTTCTTTCTTTTTTTAATTTGAGACGGAGTCTCGCTCTGTTGCCCAGGCTGGAGTGAATGACGCAAAATCTCAGCTCACTGCAACCTCTGCCTCCTGGGTTCAAGCGA